GTGTGTGTGTGTGTGTGTGTGTGTGTGTGTGTGTGTGTGTGTGTGTGTCGCAAGTCGTGGGAGGAACAGAGGCCAGAGGCAGAGATTTAAGTGTGTCTTTACCTCAGACTCCTGCTCCGTTTGCCTCTTTTTTTACCGCTTAATCACCCTCCATCCCCACAACTGGATTTTCAGTAACTTCATGTAAATGTTTTCGTTTATCCTCTTGAGATTGATGTGCGCATGTTTAGGGTGAAGACAGAAAGGAACGAACCAAAATGAAATCGAGAGACGGTTAAGAAAATACTAGAATTCACTGGGAAGAAAAAAAAAAGGAGGTTGATACAAACTTAAATGTGCTAGAAAGACTGAAGGGAAATTAGAATTTAGTTGGAATAAAGATGATAATCGGGAAGATCAGGGGCTGATAAAAAAAATTAAAAATAAAAAGAGAGAAGAGGTACAGGAAAGCTTTAAAGGTATGAGAAAAAGCTGATTTTTTTTCCATTAGAGGAGCTCAAACTCTAACAGCTTAATGCCACTGAAGCCTAAAATCTGGGAGAAACTCACTTACAGAAAAGGGAAAGCCTCAATTTGCACCTTCAAAAATCAGTTTAGGGCACATCCCGTCCTCTGGAATTGGTGTAACTTCATTTGCGTGCCCTTTTACCACAGAACACCAAATAAGACAAGATTTCTGAAAGACACAAGAGGGAATCAATCTGATGATTTGAGAGTAAATACTAAAAGGATGCACCACCCTTAAAACAGGGGGCATAAAAAAGTGTTTCTCCTTAGGGTCAGGAACCCTTTCAAAAAGCTGTCTGACCATCACATGATCCAAATGTTTTTTTTTATGGCATTGTGCGATTTATAAATGCAAAATGATCTCAAATTAACAAGCTAATTTTTAACTTTTTTAACTTTCTTCTTTAGTATTTCTTTAGTGTTTCAGCCAGTGTGAGCACTTTCTGAAATAAAGACGGATGTTTCGAAGTTTAAATTCTCGACACTAGTGAGTTGGAGCACTTTCTTAAACACCAGGCTCTGTGATTGGGCGGATAAAAGTCTGTGTTAACCGGATCTTGACAGTAAAGCGTGCACGCCGGGCGCACGGTCGAACGGTCATTTCGTGTCCTGCTCGCTGGGATCACATCACTGGATGTTTTCTAGTCGAGTTATTCACCGAGTCGGGTCTGTTTTCACAGTGTCTCGTGTTTAAACGCGACTCAAACGTGCAGCAAACAGCGAGTCAGGCGGCTCAAACAAACAAATCCTCTGGAATCAGGTCCAATCCCGATATGTGAGGAGCAAAAACGAGGTTGCTCATCTTTAACTTGCCACGTTTGAAACCACACCATATTTTGCTTTTATGTTCACCTATTCTATACATTGGGATAAACCCAGTGTGTCTTACTTAATACACTAAATCACCAATTCAGGCTATGTCATTCGAATGAAAGAAAAGAAACTGTTTGGCAACAGATGCAATCTACCCGAAAAGGCAGATAAAATATTAACATATCCACTTTTCCAGAGCACATAAAATGTCTAAGCGACGTAGACTCAGTGTATGTGGTGGTAGGGGTCTGAGCTCCATTCGTTTTAACCCTTTAAAGCCTGAAAAAAGAAAGATAGGAAGAATATTGGATTTTTTTAGTCTGAAGTCTTTCTTTGGCCCCAAAGAACAACATATAAAGAAAAAAAAACTGAAATTGTTTTGATCAAATTAGCGTGCAATAAGTCAAAAATATATTTTGGTGTAGTCTTCTACTGGCTGTTATCAGGTATATCTGAATGTGTACAACAGGGGTCTGAGCAAAGCTTTTACCACTGAATGATGCAAAAAGTCTCAGATCCAAAACACTTCAGAAACCGTATGAATCAGATATGATACATTTGGCATTATAGGGTTAATATATAATATAATATAATATAATATAATATAATATAATATAATATAATATAATATAATATAATATAGGGTTAACGATCGTACAGCCTGAATTAAAACCCAAAACCTGGAGAGAAAAACAGAAAACTTGACATTTCCACTTAACATTTCCCAGAGACAAAAAAAAAACGTATAAAAAGACAGGTGAGAAGTTTCTCCGGAGGGCGACGGAGTCTCTCCCGGTAACATTTCCGTCAGATTAACGTTGGTGAAACAGAGGCGGACAGAGCAGAAGCAAAGAGGATTAACCTTTTTAGATTCGACAAAGGCGCCGGCCCTGATTGAACCGAGGCGACACCGTAGCCTCGGGAGGAGGACGAGCACGGCCCTGTCCTCGTCGTGGAACCGAGGGAAGGTTTTATCGGGGGGAATCTTAGTTGTACTGACTGTTTACATCCCGTTCGGGTTTGCTTCGGTTCATATCTCGCTGTAAGTGGAGTAGCAACAAAAACTTACATGTGTTTCACTTCTTAACTCGTTGGCTGCCAAAGACGTCTATAGACGTCTTTTATGTTTTTCAACGAGAGTGGCTGGGGGACGATCTGCTAAAGCTTGTCCGTAAATATCGACTTCTAGACAGAGTATGTAGTAACAAATTGACCCTCTAGGTGGCAGTGCCACTTTTGATGGGAGATGAGCATAGACTGTAGGCAAATAAGAAAAAGGTAACGGTTCGCTATGAGAGAACATGTCGCCGGTGAGACGCAAGTCGAGGAAGAACGGAATAAGGTAGAAACAAACAAATTTTCCTGATGAAAGAAGAGAGTCTACTCTTTCTTTTGGTGTGTTCG